TTCCCAAAGCGAATTATTTCCTACTCCGCTTTTCTTCACCTTTCTCCGTTCCGTACCTATGTAGTATTATCGAATGCTTCAATGTCCTCGTGAACGTGAAACATCGTTACTAGGCAACGTCGTCGAACGGCACGTTACGATATGTAGCGTAGAAAATATTAGTTATTCATTTCTAAAAACTAAAAATTTTAACAAATAAAAGTATTTAGTAACATTTGGAAAATTATTTCACATTTCTTTTCGAAAATCTTTCTTTTCAAATTTATCGAAACTGTCTGGGATTACTATTCGGACTAACGTCAGGTCCGAAAATTCAGAAATTGTTCGAAATTGTAATAATTTATATATATACAATAATATATGAACTAAACAGCGCACAATTGAGAGATTTATAATTCAAAAATATCTAAAATTATATCTCTCAATTTCTATTAACGTCTATTAACAAACATTTATCTTATCTCAAACTAAGATAGCTTACTACATAAACTTGGCTTTCTCTCCTTACGTACGTGCAACAATGTCGCGATTCCTAATGTGTCTTCACGCGTTACGCAAAGCTAAGCCTTGATGCAATAGAGAAAGATTGACATTCGATGTTAACTTATCGCGAGTTACTACTCCGTGTACGCATTCCGACCATGAGTACGGTTCAGTGGTCAATTATACCTCTCTTCGTGGACTTGCTGCCCGTTCTCACGTTGATTCCGTGGTCGAACCCCCAACCCTTCAATCCGGCCGCTATTTCACCCGCTCTTTCCCAACTTCGGTGAACAGATTCGGATTATTGCGCGTAAGAGCGGAGCGGATGAGCTTAGCAATCAAAGAACGTGCAATCATAATAATTGCGCATTGAATTAAGATAAGAGTGTAGAATGTAAAAAATTTGAAAACTGCGATAAATGTCATAATTTTTCTCGACATGTACTTTTGCTAAAAAAAATAAATACACCCAAATCAATTAAAAAATCCGTCATGGCAATTAAAGTCGCATTAAGAAATATTTAAATATAAAAAATCCAACAACAATCTTCCAAAAATAAAGTTGAGAGACAAGAGATTAATAATAAAATTGTATAATTATATAATTTTCGTTTCTTTGCCAAACAATCTCGGTATATACTCTCCTTATCTGCAAATATTGAAACGAGATAAAATGAGATATAATACGCGTATAAAGCATTGTTTATATTAAAACTGTACCAAATGTTAAAAGAATTTCATGTGTCGCGCCAAAATTGACGTAGAGAATATCGTTAAATAATCATTCGTAACTCGTTTGCAAAATTGCTCGTCCCTACATCCGGCCGGTTATACGCGCGAACGATCCCGCGCGATAAAAAAAAAGAAGAAAAAAAAACGCCATCCCCGTTTACGTAGCAACCCTCTTTGCAGTCTGCGGAAGACGCGCGACCTTAAATTGCATTTGAATAAAGCAATTTGTGCACGCGCCGTAATCTAATTCGGTCCTCTCACTAGTTTTCGCTACGCAAAAGCACCGATAAATCAACCAGTTGCACGGCGCATCGGCCTCAACACGCCCCTACGATGTAGCCATATGGCTTAATTTCGTTCGTAGAGTGTGCAGCCGTGCTGCGAAAAGCCAAAAAAAGCATTTTGTGTATGAAAGGAAGGACTGACATCGCAATATCATTGTGATCCGCCGATGCTCGCCCAATTATCAATAACAGATTTTCGCGATGTTACATTAAAGCCGAAGTAGTCTTACTGCCAATCTGTATAAATGTAGAAGTCTTGATTTTATTTTTATCTCGCAAAGCAAGATTCTTTTATATGAATGTTTTTAAATTTAAAATATTAAAAACAGCACCTTATGCTTGTCAGATCAAATTTATTAAATAAAAATAGACATAAATAAGCGACATTGTAGCAATTAACGTTTCATTTGTTCAAAATAATTAAAATAAGAATTGATTTTTTGGAAAAATGTGATTTTAATTAAAAGTTACTAAATTTGACTTTTATAATTAAAATTACAAGCTAATAAAATATTTTATTGGCTTTGATGTAATTAATTCGTGTAAAATAATTTTCAAAAACAAGATAATATTTCTCGTTTCGATCATCAATAGATACATTTCAATCTTGAACTTTTGTGCAAGTTTCAAGAAACACAACGCGATAAGTCCTAGTAAAGTATGTTTTAGGACAGCTTACGATACACGTAACGGCTTAAAGCGCGCGATGATGTATAGAGAACAGCGGTTTTGGATCGACGCGTCCAAGGATGCGCGAAGCATCATTAAAGGGGTAATAGTTATAAATCGTTCATAGAATGTGCCCTAAACGCGATTCTCAAGTCCGCGGGAATTGATGAATCTTCATCTACGTTACGTCCAACTGATAGAAATAAACATCGACCTGTTTCTCGCACGTTAATAATTATATCTTGCTTTCTTTTGCACATCATTGATTACACGTATATTGCGACGATTATTCTGATTATTTTGATACAGTTGTTTATTGCAAGATTTATTCTTTCTTTTGCACATCATTGATTACACGTATATTGCGACGATTATTCTAATTATTTTAATAGTTATTTATTGCAAGATTTATTCTATCATCAAATCTGAATACACACATTTATCACAAATCCATTTCTTTTTTTCCTAAATTTTATAAAATGAAAGAAATCCTTTAACGGTAATATTGAGATAGAAATACTGAATTTCTAACACTATCACGCTGTTGCAATAATTCATGATGTAACGGTAAATACATTCGCCAGATAAGATGATAAAAATCACTCAAAGTGGATTTACCAGAAACTCTTTTTAAGATAATGGTATTATCGGATTTTTGTTTTAAAGCCATCGAAAGAAAGTTTAAAATGCAATTTATGAACGTTATTTTATACTAGATAAAACTTTGGCCTTCATAAGTACGTGGTTTGCATTTAAATATATTGAGAATGATCCCATGTGTGGCTCTGCAAATTAAATGCAGATGCTCCACGATCAAAAGCATGTTGGTATGTGACAATATTGTGTTGTTCGCGCGTAAACGACACGTAAAGTTACTACCTAAACATCACAACGGAGAAACAAAAGGCAAGAAAGAGAATAGTTCTCTCATGAATTTCGCATAAATCGGGATTCGAGCTCGTGGATAAACGCCTCGCGGGAGCGAGTGTTCCCGATGGAAACAAGAAACGAGAACGTAAAGTAGACAGTCCAAGGCAGGTGAGACAGCTACGCTATATGGAACAGCGCTAAGAAACATCGAACAGCCAAGAACCAGAAGCGTTGTTGCAGTCACATGTAGGTACGTGTTTTGGTGTGTAGCGTAGAATGCGATGCGTACGCAAGTTGTAATGCGTACCACCGGGTCCGGACAAAGTGTGTCGAGTGGCAGTCGAAACATCTATTCAGCCGAACATCTAGAAGGAAACCAGCTCTGCGATCGCGAGACGGCGTCGACCCGCGATACGGTCCAATTCCAATAGCGGTATCGCGCGTAAGTGGCCCTTCATGCCATTCCGCGCCATCGGAAAAAAACACATTCGCTTCTGGGTGACGACGCTCTCGATCCATCCGAACGAAACACCAGAGGAAGAGAAAAACTCAGAGAAAATAAAGAGAGGATGAGGGAGAAAAGAGAGAAACAAATTTAAAAAAAAAAAGATAAAAAAAGAGAGAAAGGAGAAAGAGACAGAGAGAAAGAGAGAGAGAGAGAAAGAGAGAGACTGACAGCCATCTCACCGCCCGCCACAGCTCAAAGCACTCACTAAACGTCACGGGAGAGCACGGACAAAAAGGACTGCCGGTTGGTGGTTGTTGGTGGTCAGTGTCGGTCAATTGTTGCTGTCTACGTTCAACAGGGCAAATATCTAGGCCTGGGACGTGCTTTCGATAACCTACAAAGAGCACTGGCTCCTCTCCCGTGTGTCGTAGTACGGCCGCTCGCGTAGCGCCCGGACCGACGTACGCCGTGGTGCCACCTGACAGACTCCGGGAAATTCGAGAAAACGGCATTTCCTTCGGCCCATGCGCGAGAACTTTAATCGAATTTCGGGGTTGCAGCGCCAACAACGGCGGGGGTGGTTTCGCTCCGTTGCACGCGATCGACTCTATCAGGAATATTTGAATTTTACCGCGCGCGCGCGCCCGATTTTCATTCTAGCTGGAATCGCTCGAACAATTTCGCAATATTAGAGAATCTCTGCAATAATAAACGGATCTGATCTATTCAGTTTTCCCGCATATTTCCGCGATTGTCATTCTTTTTTTTCATCCTCCGGAGTGAACGTACTCTTCATCACTTTGCGTGAAAAAAGAATGAGAAAGCGCTAACAATGTTTTACCAGTACTTTTTCGACTACATTCTTTTACATTTTGTTGCCATTTACCTTTTTTAGCTTCTACTTTCAATAATTTGAAAATAGATATAATTTCAGCGCTACTTTTTTTCTACACTTAAATACTTATTAGATACTCTCCATTATTTCGTATTTTTCTTTGTGTACTAAAATAATGAACAAGTACAAATCTTTAAGTTTTTGAACATTCCGAATATGAAATCAAGATAAATCAGTTACAAATACAATCTATTAGACTGCCCGAAATTATTATAGCAGTATAATTGACGCGAATCAGAGACCATATTGTTTTTATAAAAAAAAAGAAAACAATACGGTATTAATCATTTATACATTTCAATTAAAAATACTATCAATGCTCACCTCACTTGATGCGACTTCGTTCTCCATTTTCTTTCCTACCCAGCATATACTTTCCATTTATACGAACGCATGTAGATATCTGACGCATAAATTAGCGAGCGACTGTATGTTGAAGTAAACGAACTAGTTTCTTGTGCGGCTGTGCACGCGTAGATGTGAAGTTGCTGCCGAAAAAAATAAGCTCGTAGTACCATCTGGCGACGAGCATCAAAATCTACTATGCAATTATGTCACTGTATTATCGCGCTTGGGTAAAAAAGAGAAACTGATTCAGTAATTATTTCTTCTCACGTGGCGTGGTTGAATCCGGTCTGATCAAGTGGAATGTCTGTATGTCGTAATGGCAGCTCCGGTGAAAAAACGCGAAATTCAGCAAAAGACACGCGACGAGGATTGCGTCTCGTCCAGCAGTGAAAATGAAGAGTACGAAGTCGCTGATGAGCAGGTGAGAAATATTCCTTTATATTGTTGCATACTCGATATTCAATATGCCGGGCGAGTTAACCTCACTAACAAACACGCGGTCACTTACTTTTCTTATAATATATTTATTCAGTTGTCATTAATCTAATTTATTTTAATTTGTCCAAACGAAATTTATGTGATATATTGAAGAGTATAAAAATGATAATACGAAACAATCTTATGTACAAGATAAACCACTCTGTCGGTTGTCATTTCAATACATCAAAATGTCAGCAATAAACAATTGATAGAAATTGAAAAGATATACTGTTGGTTTAATAATATGAAAATAAATCTATAATATTCAGTGAATTTTAGATTTCAAAGAAGAAAAATGTACTTAAAAAAATGTTTGAAAAAGCTTTTTCCAAAATTAACACTGCACTTAATTTCATAAATTTATATTAATTTCTTTTTGTATATGTAAGAAGCATATCATCAAATTTTACATTATTGATTAGTTGAATAATAAATATATTATCAAGAAATCAATCAAGTATATTAATGTTACTACTTTAATCTAACTTGATAAAGCATGTCATTTATGAGCAACAATTAAAATTAAACAGTATATTTTTAATGAAAAATTTCAAGTATATGTACAGTGCACTAATGCACAATAGTATATATATTTCGACATGTTAGACTACTTCGCATCAGTGCCATTAAAGAAATAATAAATATTAAAAACCAGATCTTATTGTTAATTATGCACACGGTCCACTTTCTATTTTTAGATCGCAAATTTGCCATAGTACTTGAAATGCAGTATAACATGCACTTTTTACTGCAATTATGGATTTTTAATTAACCAATAACTGGAAATTATTTAAATAATTATAAAGGCTATAATTCATAATTACAACAAGAAAAAGATATAATGTACCTATGAAGGAACTGCTTTAGTAAAACATGTGGTAAAAGAGGCTTTCACATTTTATAATGCTGAGCAAAAGAACTATTTGATAAAACACTTCACAAAAGGGTATCTATTATATCAATTGGTATATACACAACTGACAATCAGTAACAATAAATAATCTTTTTCATCCCACCAACAAAATATGCATCTGAAATAACTTTGACAATTTATTGTTTTTCAAAAATATTAAAGAATTATGTTTATTGATAAGATTAAATGAAAAATATATATACAAAGAGCTGATAATAAAATTAAATCTATATTTTTATAATTTTAGTTTTTAAATTAAATTTTCCATAAATTATGTCATAATAAAAGATTTTTTTCTTTTATATATATATTTAAATTAATTAATTTTAAAATTTGCACAATTTTATTTTATTTAAAAATAATGAACTGCATACATAACACACAAAATTCAATTTTTTAAATTATTAATATAAGGAGAAAATGATTTTATTTTATTTTTTATTTTTAAAAATGTTAATTGCAGACGAGCATATGATTGTCAAAGCATATTTCTTAGCAATTATGATGTAGATATTGGTGAACAAAAAAGTGATAAATAATATAGTATGCACCACTGCAATAAATAAATTCACTCACCAATTGTTGCATCTTAGCTAAGCACACTGTTTCAGCTGTACCTAGAAAATTAATATATACTTTAATTTTATAAATTATTATAATATTATATGTTTCATGTATATCATTTATTTTCATTATGAACATGTCTATGTACAGTAAATTCTGTGAATTATTTTTCAATTTTAATGAATATTCAATAAATATTTCAATGGATTTTGATAAATATTTTTAAAAGTCTTAAATATATCTGGTAAATATAAATTTTAATTGTGTATGTATGTCACAAAAATATATATAAATTTAAATAATGTACAAATAATTTTACTCACCAAATGAAATATATTGAAAATTGCTCCACGTGCTACAAATTTTATCCTAGAATATTCCACATTAGTTCATCGATTGATCCTAATATGTTTTTTTCAGCTGTAATGAGATAATTAATATCTATTTTGATTATTGTGAATTATCATATACTTTACATATTCTAAGTATTACATACTATTTGCTTTCATTTTAATTAAAACTTGATCATGTGCAATAGATTGTGTAAGCAAACAATTTTAATAAATATTTAAATTAATTAAGAAATATTTCTAAAACATTTTCAAGTATCTTGATAAATATTTCATAAATATAATTTTTTTAATTGTGCATATCTGTGTTATCACAATTATGTACATTTGAAATAAGGAAGGAAGAATAATTTACTATAGTATTGTTATTTGCTGTAACCGTTACTATTTTTGCCTTACATCGGCTTCCTTGAAGAATCGATGAATATTGAAAATCTCTAATTATTGCGCTATGCACTTCAAGTTTTCACGGATTTGTATCACAAAATGCCAGAACATAAAATGTAACAAATATACTACCGTACGCGTACACGTGTCAACTGTATCAATTTGTATCAACCGACTAGCTAAATTTTGAATATCAATCAAATTATCAATCTAGCGGAAAGTATATTATGCGTCTACATCTGTAACATCAAAATCTCCAATTGTTAGTTTACAAATCCATAAAACGATCGGCGAAATACCGTAAACCGGCGCAATACCAAACATTCAGCAAATATTACGTTCCCGTCAATTACTACGCAATTATCCGTTATTTTATGCAATTACTCGACACTCAACGAAAGACGCACTCATTATTCACTTAAAGATATGAAGTAATAAAATATGCGGTTCATCACGGTGAATTCACTCCTCTATATTGCAAAAAGATGGCTACGGAAGACTATTGGTGGTTAAAAAAAGCGCGCAATTTAAAAGTAAATGTAAATGATATGACGTCACGCCAGTAATATCAGACGCGGTTCTCGATGTATGTCATTTTTTCCACTATAGGTGCGTGTCGCTCGCGTCTCAATTCTGGTGTCATTACATCACGCGCGCCATCATCTGGCCATTATAAGAATCTTCATTACCTCGCCATTTTCTTGGAAGACAAAGCGCGAACGCTTCGTGATGAATCGCATTTTTATCCGTGTCAATTCGTATCCGAAAGTATGTAACAAGTTCGCATTTTTCGAAAGTTCTGATTAAATTGACGAGCAATTGCGGGAGTGTATTTACCACAGCGTTTTGGGATCGATATTTCGTCAATCATAGATTTACATATCAGTGCAATCTCAATAAATACAAATTTTATGTCACGGACACGGTATTTACTGCTACGTATATATATTCTCCATTAGATTAGTAACATGTGGGAAATTCAGCTAGACGACATTAAATTGGATAAACAATTACTGTGTAGACGTCCGTATATACGATCTCTATTCAATCGCGAAAACAATCGTCATTTATCTCTTGGTCTTAATAGGTATGCAATCGTCATTTGTCTCTTGGTTTTAATACGTATGCAGTATCAATTTAATACGTGAATATGCCATGGTAGCATATTTTATGTCGCGTTTCGTGTTCCGCGGCGTGGCAAATGTGATATATAAATTCGTGAAAACTTGAAGTGCATAGTGATAATAAATTTAAAGTTCTCAATATTCATCGATTCTTCAATGAACCTGACGTGGAACATTATAAAAATGGTAACGGTGATAGCAAATAACAATATTTTAGTTACTAAATTATCTTTCCTTATTTCAAATGTACATATTTGCGATAACATAGATTATAAAAAATTTATAATTGAAATTTTTATTAAGATGTTTGAAAATATATTTTAGAAATATTTGTTAATATATTTAAATATTTATTAAAATTGTTTGCTCACACAATCTATTACACAAGATCATGTTTTAATTAAAAGAAAAACAAATAATATGTAATACTTAGAATAGGTAAAGTATATAATTCATATTAATTAAAATACATATTAATTACCTCATTACAGCTGAAAAAAAACATACTTAGAGTATATCAATCAACAAGCTAATGTAGAACATTCTAGGATGAAAAATGGAGCAAGTGGAACAACTTTCAATATTCTAGCTGGTGAGTTATTTGTACGTTATTTAAATATGTATATTTTTTGTGATAACACAATACACAATTACAATTTATATTTGCCAAATATATTTAAGATTTTTAAGAATATTTATTAAAATCTGTTGAAATATTTATTGAATATTCATTAAAATTTGGAAATAATTATTCATAGAATTTACTGCATATACATATGTTTTATAATGAAAATAATAAAATAATATGTAATAAATGATATACATGAAATATATAATATTATATAATAATTTATAAAGTTGAAGTATATGTTAATTTTTAGGTATAGCTGAAACTGTGCTTAGCTAGGATACAACAATTGGTGAGTGAAATCATTTGTTGTATTTATGCAGTATGTACTAATTATATAAAACATACTAATATCTACTGTCATCTGTTATTTTTTCGCCAATGTCTACACATATAACTAAAATATGTTTTGACAATCACATTATTTTTTTTCTATTTTAACAGTGAAAAATATCAAAAGTTGCATGCAAGTCATACTTTATTATGTTTAAATTAAATAAAATTCTAAAATTTTATAAATATGAATTATATAAATATATATGTAAAAAAGAAAATTTTATTTTATAAATTAAGAAACTACATTATAAAGAGATATACATTTTGAAAACGTGAAGCTCAATATACATGAATATATCTTTCACTTAATTTTATCAATAAATTTAATCAATTTAATCAATTAAGTTTAATATTTTACAAAAGAGTGATTTGTCAAAGCACAGTTTTGGATGTTTTATTGCTGTAACGAAAAAGTGGTTATTGATACAATTGCTTATACAGCAATTTATATAATTAATTCGCTTTTATGAAGCGTGCTTGATCAAACGATTCTCTTTCTTCACCAAACCTTATAAAGTGCGAAAATCTTGTAAAATACGATATGTTTTATGAAAAATGCAACTGCCTTACTTTTGCTAAAAAAGTTTCAATAATTTATATGCTTTTTATGGTAATTCTGTAGCTTTTGTAGCTTTTGTGGTTACAATCTCTACGTATTACTTAATTTATTATTCATAATTGCGACACATACTGCGTTTTATCTCGTAGTTATATTTCTTGGGGTTTATACATCGTGATATGGCAGATTTGCGACGTAACCCTACTGATTTTTGAAAGTAAATCGCAGAGATTGACTTTCATTCAAAAGTGTGTGTAACTAACAATAAGTGCAAATTTTCGGTATTTTTTAATGATGCCAAGCAACTGATGCGAAGTAGCAAAATCTGCAACAGGTGATGCAAATTGCAACACCAATACAAGCTAGTGAGTACAATTACTTATTTATTATTTAAATATATAATATATATGATTTTATATGCTACACAACTACAATTAGAGTAAAATTTTCATTTTTTTTGTTTTCTCTTTTTCTTCTCCTGTTTTTTTCTTTTTACTATTTTACATTTATCTAATTATGACCACATATTGAAAAATGCTAATAAAAAACAAACGATACTATCATTATTTATTTGTTACTGCAGAAATCAGGCTTCTTTTGTATAATGTATAAATATTAAAATTTATTGTATCCTCTGTCTTATTTCTTTCTCTTACTTAAATGATTTTGACACTTGCATATACATATGGAATATTGAAAATGAGAGACATAATGGCATCTAATTTAAAGTTATTCTTTTTATTTTCGAAATTGATTATGAAAGCTGTGACCGCAGTTGTATGTAAAAACGATAAATTATATTTTTATGTTACATTAGTATGTTGAAAAATCTTGAGCTTTCAAATTAGTATAGAATTGATATACAATATGTTAATTATTTTTTTTTTTTTTTTTTTTTTTTTTTTTTAATTGTTAAACTAAACGTAAAATACGTAAAAGTAATAACTAACAGTGTAACAGTAATAGAATAGAATTTTAAATTTTATACATTATTTAATTCCTTTTTATTTTAGATTAATTGAATTCATTTTGTATCAGTATTTTTTATAATAATTAAAAAAGATTTAATGTCAATTTAACTTATAGAATAATTGGTTTTTAATTGAATACTCGCTTCGTACATTTGTAGCAATTTCAGTGCAAGAAATATATATATCTCAAAATATTTTAGGGAATGGAGCTTCAAGTGGATTTCGAAGGCCGTAATCCACAGGATCCAGACTATCATGGAATCAAAACACTATTGCAACAACTTTTTCTTAAAGCACATATTGACTTAGGCGGGCTCACTGATTTAATAATATCTCAGAATTGCGTAGGGTCTGTTGTTAAACAGTCTGATGATGTAGATGAATCTGACGATGACGATGATGTTAATGATGTGTTTGGTATCACAACTGTCATTAATGTTTCGGACAAACAAGTAAGTTAAATTAATAATATGTAATTATTATCAAATTTATTATTCTTTTTAACGAAATAATAATTTTATTTTTAGAACCTTCCATGTATACAACAGCTTAGGGATTTATTGAAGCAATTAGCAGATGAGCATGCAACAGATGCAGTTAACACTATGATAAAAAGTGTTTTGGAGAATGATGCATCGCAATTGGGTTTACTTATTAACGAGAGATTTGTCAACATTCCAGCCAAGATTTCAGTACCCCTCCTTGAAAATTTAATTTCCGAAGTGAAACGTGCCAATAACAGAAAGATGCCATTTAATTTTTCCTATTACATACTTATATGTAAATTATACAAGTCAGAAGATAAGAAAGTGGGGAAAAAGCCGAAAAACAAGAATAAAAACCCCAGTGGTGAATCATCTGTATTGTGGAGCAATCCAGAGGAAGAGATTTTTGCAGAAGAAGCAACCGTTAGTTTTGAATTTTCTGTTGAAGAAGAAGCAGACAGTGGTTTATCCGGAACGTGGACTGAAAAGGATGATGAAATGGTACCTTATAGACGAGTTCTTCTTTTCGAAGCTTCTAAACTGCAATCCATATTTGGAAAAATACAGAATCAATTTTCTTAATTTTATAAATGGTATATATTAATATTGGCAAAATGGCGAAACTCCTTGCGAAACTTCCTCGCAATATGTGAACAGCACATATGCTTGTCAAAGACAACTAATATTTCTTGCGTACGATGATGTGCAACAAGCTTTTTATAATACAGCTTTTATATAACGCCTAAACTACAAACTGTTTCTATGAATTTCACCCTTGCACTCTCTTTATTCTTCTATTTTTCTTTTATATAATTTTATATAATATATAATATTATATAAATATATATACTCTTAATATATAATGATATATATATATTACGATTACGAAATATTCATCAATCTTATATCAAACTTGATCCACTTGAGATTTTCATATAACCGTATAAAACTTCTATACTTAAATAAATAGGTTGCACAAATTTAAATTGAGCAGGCATATTTGCGATAAACGTACACACGAAATAACAACATCTACTATATTGTAAATTTATAACGTATATAGTCTAATTGATTATTTGAGACTCGACAATTTTTTTCTTTTTCAAGTTACATATTGTTTCTATTTACACAACTTCTATTACTAAGATGCCGTGTCTGTAAACTTAAACGACTGTCTTATTGGCTTGGCTCTTCGTCTCATAGTACCAAGAATGTTTAGCATTTCAGAAACTGCTGGCGAGGCACTCTCTGCTTCTTGTCGTCTTTTTCTCTCCTCTTCTCGTTGTTTCTAAAATCATCATTTTAATCAAATGTGCTATGTGCTATGTGTACTAAAGTTTGACAATAATACTGCACTTTACTCAAGCAGTACAAATATTAGGACTGTGTATCGATTTAAAGAATATATAATATATTAATAGTTTTTATAAATCTCTATAACATGTCTTAAAAAATTATATAGATAGAATTTATACTCACGTCTGTTTGCTTCAGCGTAAATCGTCCGCCTTTAATTTGGTTGATAATATCATCAATGGCTAAAAATTCAAGATATTTAGCGAATTATAATTTTTATTTGTTTATATTGAAACACAATAATTATGTAATAATTTACACAATATAAACACATAATTAAAACGCGACTATCAAAATAATAAATTGCACAATTACCGGGTTGTTGTGCGACCGCAGGTGTTTTCTTTGGCGTAATGCCAAGCATGTTTTCCATGTCGCTTACAGCTGTACGTTCTGAGGTCAACTTTTCTCTGGTCAGCAATTTTATCGACGATTGACCAGCTCCTAACATCGGAGGTGGTGGTGGAGGTGGTGGTGGTGGTTTTGAGGCTTTTTCCTCCAATTCACTGACTTTCTGCTTTAAGCATTGCACTACATTCTCCAGCTCTTCCACCGATTTCTCGGCTCTTTCAGCTCTGTGAAGAATTACTTCTAACTCAGACTCTGCGAGCTTCAACTTTTCCTCGACAATTTCAAATTCCACATTTGATTCTTTTTCCTCCAATTTCTCCTGCAATATCTGCACTTGGCGAGCATAGTTTTGCTGTTCTTCCTCTAATAGTCTCTTTAGAGATTCCACCTCTTGCAAAACAGTTAATAATCTTCCATTCGGATCATCTCCGACTTCGGCCATAAGAAGAGCGCTTTGGTGCGCTAAGACATTCCGTTCTTTTTGAACCTACAATTAATGCGCGGGAGAGATTATAGTTTTGATACATTTTTATACGATTTAAAAATATTAATAAGAGTTTTAACCCTTTCTAGCTAATGATTCAAATTATGAAAAATTTCTGAATAAATGATAATTATGTATCTCGTAGAATTAAATGGACGTACTTTTTCGGCTTCTATCTTCAGAATTTTCGCGTTTTCTCGCTCGCGATCGCATTGCGTCTTCAGGGCTTGCACCTCCTCGGCTACCATTTTCGTAACTCTTTCCATGTTTCCTTTGTGCACTTTCATCTCGTTAATTTTCTCTTCACCTACAAAGATGAATCAGCTGACTTAGCGTGTCTTACATTATATACTGCAAGATTACGGGATATATGTTTCACCTTTTTGTCGAGAAGCTCTTTCTTCTTCCAGCTGCGTGGTCAGCTGTGTTACCTGTTCTTGCGCTTCGAATTCTTGAAGCCGCGCGGAACGAAGTTCCGTTTGCAATCGTGCAATTTCACTACTTAGTTCTGGAAACGAATGCTCGATTTAAAGCCAATTGTATTACTATTATTTTGCTAACGTTGATTAAACAATTTTTTTTCATATAAATATAAAATGGGACTTAATCCAAATGAATTATACAACAAAATTGACTGCACTGACCTTTTACCGTTTGTCTCAATTGATCTAAATCCTCAAAATTTGAGTCCACTTCGTCGGATACATCAAAACCCAGCAGCTCTTCCGGATTGCTATGTAAAAGCTTTTGTGCAATGATTTGGGATCTTCGTTTGAGCTCGCGGTTTTGTCGATACCACTAATAATAAAACTATGTATTATTCTATTTGTAAGATGATGACATACCATCTACTATGTATTTAGATAAAAATAAACACATTGTAACATACAAATGCATCATTACCTGAGATGCTTGTTGCATGGCTTTGTGCATCGCATTCGTTTCCACATTATATTGATTTTTTAATTGTTCATATTCTTTACATACCGCTTCGGAAACTAGAAAAGATTGAATAGAACTGATAATTTTACGAGAAACTCTTTCTATACTCTAGGAGTTAATTACAAAAAATATGCACCTGTTCGCAATTTTTGCAATTTTTGCTCTTTTTCTTGAACGTGCGATTGCAACGCGCTATTTTCCCTTTGCAATTGTTGATATTTTTTTTCCAGATCTACATGCTCCTTAATCGCTGCAAAAAGAATACGTATTAAATCACAACATTAAATGCAATCTTTTAATATAAAACTATCTCAATATTTAATTTTTTCCAATTATCGCTGTTATTGCGAATGGCATGCGGATGTGTGTGGGTAAAGTGAGTCAATTACCAAATACCGCAATCAAGTCGACATGTGACAATCGAATTAAGGTCATGTAACATGTACAACTGTTGAGAAACGATCGATGACATCATCGTTCGCTTTCAAAAGAATTTGTGTTATGAGATAAAACGTAATTCGATTAACTATTAACTAAGAAGTGTCAAACAGGATAAAGAGGTCTTTTAGTCTGCCAAAATTTATGAGAAGAAAAGCATATATTTACATATATAGAAAATCTCGTTACTTTAATATTTCGTGAAGTTTTGATCATTCTTCATCTATTGCTTTTCTTTTTCTTTTTTATTGATATTCCAAATATTATTTTTAAACATCCTTGATCAATCATAAAATTCTGACGCATTGCGTTTACATTATGCATGAATCGCTTACGCAGCACTTGTCGCTTAATTACCTGAGTATTTAAACGACTTTGAAAACGTTTTAGAATATCTCGCCTCAACAACAGTCTATTGCTCAGTGCCTGCCCTTTTCTCGATCGATGTCTCATTGATCATCGATCATATGGCAATAAATCGTTCCGAGAATATAGATCCCACGAACAACTTGTGTCAATATTTTATCTATCTCAATTTATAATTCTATCATGTAGAAATAGCATGACTAAGAGACCGTCACTGCCTTCATTTTATGCAGCAGTGAATCACAATAAGATACGTAACGTTCTCAGTCATTTGTTCGAGAAAATAATAATGCAATGTACGCGATTTTCATCATATATGAGCCTCTGTCTTACTTTCGAAAAGATAAAAGAATATAAAAATTAACACATATTCGTGCCTTTACTTAGAATCGGTTATTCGATAATATCAGATTTGAAAAACTTCTGGGACATAGATGTATTTATCAACAATTTCAAAATTTTTGAGTCCTTGAAATTATCTATAATGTATTCTACATGGCTATTTGGATCTGCTTGGCTTGGCATTTGGCATTTCTAATTAATAATTACCAGCTTCGTTCTTCTGCAGCAGAAGTTTCCGTCTCTTTTCCGAGTCATCGTATTTATTTTTCCATTTGCTCTCGGTGAAGCTGTTGCTGCCGTTGAGCTTGACGACGTCGTTTATCTTGTAATTGCTCATCGGCGTTGATTTCTCCTCAAAGTTTCTAATCTCAATGCTAGAAGTCGACAAGTGATTGTTATTGTTACGCGACCTCAGCTGTACCACAGAAGCGTCGAGCTTCTCGAAGGTCGCTTTTTGGGCAGCCACGGTGCCCGTGCAGCGACCAAGCTTCTCGAAGGATCCTCTGCGTTTTGGAGGACATCTCTCTTGGGCCTTGATCGCGGCCGATGTTCTGGGCACCGGAATGTGAGAGTGAATCACGCTCGGAGACGTCCTCGGTGGCTCCGTGCTCAGGACAATGTTGAATTCCGTCTTGTTCATAATGTCTATGGGAATAAATGTGCTTGTTAACTCATTTAATCTTAAACTTATTACTTCGGCGTATCTTTTGCGAATGTAACATGTTACCACCACCATTAGAGAGGGACAGAGACAAATTAAATAAATATTAGTAAATTTTATCTGATTTTCTGAAATATATATTTTGCATACAAATGTGATACGGGACTTTATTATGATATTAATTATAATGCGAAACGTAATATTGACTTTTTGATAAGTACATTGATATATGTTCGTGAAGAAGTTACGATGTTTGACAAGTGTCGATAACAGAAATACAAAATTCTGAAAAGGAAAACATATGATGTGTTTCTGCGCGTGAACATTCGTGCGTGAACATCATCGATTCTAGATTCGAGAAAATATTACATAATTAATATCAAGGTAGATTTTTACACATTAAATGATTCGAGAAACAAACCTATTTAAATATATATTGTTACTGGTATAACTACCAATAAAATATTGGATATTTCCAAAAATAAACGTTGATTCCAACAGTCAACCTCGACACATCAACCTAAATTTGAAATAGTCCGCATCGAAATATTTCGGCGCTTAAATAAATTTCATGAATATTGAAGTTAAATATGTGTAAATTACAAATATGCAATATTTTTTTAATGACAAATTTGTAACGTAACAAAAGTTGAAAGTTATTATATTTTTATAGCTCGTGATTGTTTAGTATATTGCTATCTAGTCTAGAAAATTACACAAATTTACCAATATTTAATCAGTTTTTTTTATTGCTTATTGACAGTTTCATAAATCAATATTAGATAAAGTTAACAAATAGAGAAAAATTAAAATTAATATAATATCTACGTCAGAGTACTTCATCAAGTGTTATTTATTAAAATTGATAGTAAGATATCACAACATTTAATTACATTCAATTAAAATGATTGAACTTATTTTTAAAATCAAATTTTTGTTAAATATTATTGCGTTATGGCTATATTAATACAGAAAGATTAAAAGTTTTCTAAATATCTATCATCGTACACGTCCATTCCGGTCGCAAAATACGAGTTTCCGGAATAGAAGTTTGTGCGTTTCTAAAATAGGAGTCGTGTTCAAAAGTTTACTCAAGTTAGGTTCAGACGCACGTGCTGAGCTTCGCGGGAGCAAAGCAAACCTCCTGCGGGCCATTTAAAGTTAATTCGTCGGCATGCGTTTGTGTTAGGGCTCGTGTGCTCCGATCGTTAAACGAACATCGAAGGGTCGAATGTTTCGGCTACTTTCCTTGGCTAAAAAAGTCCGCCAGGTGTGCAATTGCTTCGATAATATTGAGCATAATTACCGCTCTGACTTCCGCTACGTCAACGCCCCTGTATTCTCGACTTCCTCTCGCGAACATGAACGTCATGATCAATAGATTTGCAAAAATTCGCTCGGTCAACGACCGAGATAGAATGCTTCTATTATGGAATAATCTTTTATATCGGAATACTTTAAAAGTCGCAATTAACGCTTTCAACGCATTAAATGCGTGCTAAGACAGAAGACATTTCAATGCTAAAATCAATACTTGAAGAAACAAGGTCGCATTATCAAAGTACATTTAACTCAGAATGTAGATATGCGTTTAATGTGAGTAAAACGCACGGATATAGAAGCTATATTTAATATTAATTGCAATATGAAGTAAATCTTTTTTTTCTTTTTTGCTATGTGGATGGAGATTATTCATGTTGTATGAATACGTATTCTTTCTCCCACAGTAACAAAGTACTTTGAAACAGAGTGCAATTATACTGTGTGTTTATCGAGCGGATAACGCTTGCAATTGTTTTCCTTTATACTTGCTACGTTATAACCGGTGTCATCGATCGTTTGAACCACATGGTGGCACGCTACATAATTTGCATGTATACACATATATGTAAGCATTGGCGCGTACCCAGCGCGGCATACATTAGTACGAACTAGCGAGCAAAGTGCCCGATAAAATTCGGTTGATAGGGCACGGAATAGTTTCACGTGTTCAGCAATGTAGTAGAAAAATATAGATGCCGGATGAAAGATATCTCTATGTTGAAATCACTCATATTTGAGGAAACGACGAGTTCAGAACATTCGAAATGTACATCGCGTTCAAAAAATTTTATACGGATAGAAAGCGTGATCACAATTACCGGTTACAATCCTAGCAAATCGAAGAGAACCCAAATATTGGGCTGAAACGTTTCTGCATTATTCTGTATTAATTTGCAATATCTCTTGCACTCTGACACTCGTGCTTTAATTTTTAGCCTTTTTTCTATTGGTTCTTTTCAGAGATAAAAAATCCCATAACTTTTTATTCTATCATTATTAATGTATTAGCTATTAATATGATTGTGTTATTAACATGATTAGCTATTAACACGATTTCAATATTTAAATATTTGTCCTATGTAATATATTTACATTATTTACGTCGTTAATTTTATTTCAAAAAGTTATAAATAAAACAATGCCAAAATTTTTTAAAAGATATTGCTTTACTAACACGAAATAAAGAACATCTATTTGTATTATAATAATGAAAGAACAAATAAGTATCAAACATATTTTTGCAATGACAAGATTTCATAAACGCATGTACGTGATACACAAATGATCTTAACATAATTGAACGTAAAATGTGTCATTTTTTTTATTTTTTTATTCTAATCACATCTTTTAATGACCATCAATTTACTTACTCTCTCAGAATAATTTAACAAATCGAGGTCATAAAATCATTTTAATTGTTAATCACGACGAGTATACACTTGTAATGGACTTTGGAGTAGATTGTGTCAGATAGTGTGTTCGAAGCATGAGGTCCTTTCACTTTTCCTCGTTTGCATCAAAGGATCGCGACTTGTTTCACTATACGCATTTGATTTTATTTAGAGAATCGCAAATGCACAGGATATTTAAAGTATTTTAAATCGATTATAAAAAATATTGAGTTACTTTCTCGAATTGTAATATTTAAAATTCTGCAATATAAATATCATTGTACCAATTCGTACAATTTATCCCGTATTTTAGATTTATCTAACAAAAATAGCGCGTTACGGAAATTTTTAAAGTCATCGCAGATTTATTTCCATTGTAAAATTTAAATCATACGATTAATTTGCATGTATCAAAAATGATCAATGCAAAATAAATCTTTCTCTTATACAAACAATAGATAATTACACTCACGTTCGTTCGATGCACCACTACGCGAAAATAAAGAGAAATTAGTTTTTCAATATGTTGGACACATCGGGAATTGCGCGATTAAACCTCGTCACGAAAGAAACTCTGGAGCGCACGTTCTCACTGACGCGCGTTCACGAGCATACTGACTCCGCGCGCCTTACTGTAACTTACATTATCTCGAAGCGTTGTGAGCCATATGTGAAAGAGCGTCGAGAATGCCGGAGTATCGTTTCCTTAAGGAAAACTGACCAGGCGTGCGCGCATGCATACGGATGCACCTTCTGCAGAATTTGCAACGTCTTCGATACATTGCTCTATGATACATTTTATTATTTTTTAGTTACTGTAATCGCAACTAAATATCTGGAATTTTATTAAAAGAAACTATATCTTCTTAGAACAACATACTTTAAAAGATAAGATATATGATAGAATTCTACATACGATGACTAATATATGTACTTAAATATGGCATAAATATGTCTCATATTACGACTCATATATTTTATTTTTTAGGAAAATAGGTATTTTTGTTTAACAAATAGTATGAATGGCGTGGTGTATATTTTTTAGAGCAACATATTTGAGTTGAATAATAGCATTTTTTAACAAAACAAGAAAGTCTTGATTGATTGAACTTTCGTAGCTAACGCCATTTATTGATTTAAAAAATCTTTTATTCTTAATTTGATATAAATAACGAAATTCAAAAAATTATATAATTTTGATATATATTGGGTCTGAAAACAATTAACGAAATTGTGTATCAACAACTGTATCAACAACTAAGCACACAAACAACGGCAACGTGCATAAAGTTACAAATAATAATTAAAAACTCACTAAAGAATTTTTATTTTAGCAACAAATAATATAATTACGACAAAAAATTGCAAATTAGAGAAACGACGTTATAGATAACCAAAAGAATTCTACGTAAGATAACGACGAATAACAAACTGTGTAATTACGCTGACAGCAGTCTGTTCCCGCACATACAGCTGCACACGCAGAATTGCGAATCTATACAGACTTAACATACTTTGTGTACGTGCATATTTGAGTCACTACTTCTGTGTAATCTCTCGGCAATTCTTTGTCTCGTGCAAGCGCATTATTATCGTTGCTTTTGCAAGAATGTCACCAAGAAGAGACAATTTGGTTACCAAGCATTGTATATTACACTCATATATCAGTTAAGATTTGTTTTTCTGAAAATCTGGCTAAGTAAAAAATTTTTACTGTTTATTTTAATTTTTAAAAGTTAATTTAATATCTGCACTAATGGAATTTTTATTCAAATGTTAATTAAAAATTTATTTCACAAAAAATCATTTCCTCAAATTTTTGGAAAGAGATAATATACAATTTTTAGGTCATTTGTGTAGGAAAAAATCAAGATTACAAAACGAACGATTAATAGAATCACGATTGTGTATGATGATTGATATTTTCTTTTCAAGTATCTTTATACTTCAGAGAGAAGCAGGAGGCGAAAAGAGAGAGCATATCTATATTATAGTATATTAAAGAACTACGCAGAAGCGATTTATTGCGCATCTATAAAATCTATAGTAAAAACTAAACAAGCAAACTTTCACGTGGTGCTCACATTAAGTAGGATGTATGTAAAGGACGAAGATAACATACGTGTTTCGATTCTTCTGACACATTCTCATGTTAAATGAACAAACGTATTTCCTTGTAATACATTGCATTTAACGCGATCGATTACTTGCAATAGATGTGTATTACTTGGACTTCTTGTTAGTCACATTATATTTCAAAAAGATTGAATGCTATCGCACTTTTTTAACAAATTCTAATATTACTTTTTTTATTAATTAATTTATATATTTATAAATAATAACACTATTTAATTAAGATTAATTCCAAAAGTAAAATATTATTACACTTTAAAAAACAGAACTATCTTTTTGTAGAGTCTATAACCAAACTTTACAGAAAAAGACACACATAATCTTCTCACTCTATTTCGATAAAGATTAACAAAAAATATCGATACGCGTTTCACGATCTCGAATTGTGTTTTCGACTGTCTGTCTCGAATTGCACAAACTATGCCATCATTAAACAGCTTTATTGTCTGGAATTATGCCCCTGCTTCTCTTCGCAGTCGCAGAGAGAGATGACTCATGCTTATTAGTCGTGTAACGGGTGTCTCTACATTTCGTAGAAGCTGAGACAAGCAGACTGTTATCTTTGTCCAAGATTACGTCGAAAAAAAATAGAGTTGAATATCTCCAAGTTACACGATGCGATTAATATAAATTTCTTAATAATTAACAGATAATTTAAATGCAGATTATTCTAATAAGCAAAGTGTTAGCAACATTGACAGGTTGACAGCAAATTTAATCAAATATTTTGCCAATATTGTTAATATTTGGTTATCTGACTTTCACAATTTTTTATCATTTTTATTCAAACTATATACTTTAATTTTATATTTTCTTTTTAAAAATTATTGCAGTTATACACATGAATACAACTTCCAGTCATCGAATCCACTTTCTTTACTATCGATTAAATCGATCAATCGATCGAGAACGCCACCGAATTAGTAAATTTCATTAAAGTTATTAATTATCTAAATATACCGCATGATGATAATGTTCTTGAAGTTATAAATTGTACATCGTTTATCAAACTTTTCATTTCTTTATTAAAAGTTTCATTATGTGTATTGCATTTATGTGCAATATAATAACATATTATAAATTTTTTGTTATAATCGCTGAAAATTGAAAGGGATTATTTTTATTGTTTAATGTAACGTAAAATCTAAGAATCAATAATCATCATGCGATGCGGACGTGTATTGCACGGATCAGCGATTGCATCTGCAGTAACATCCAGAGCACCGCTTTCTGATGTCTCTCAGCTGCTCCGACAGACCGCGCGCGCGCGCGTGTTTTACTCTGATCTATACTGCGCGTATCTAACTAGTACGGTCAGGTTCGGTGGCGTTTTTTTTACCTGTAAGCTCCACGAGACTGTACGCTATTCAATACTCAACGTTCCTGATCCTCGATATACAAGTTTGATTTCGCGATTCGTCTCGGTCTTCCTCGTGCTCAAGGAACTGCATTCGCTAGTGCATTTGCTGCAATAATGCACCGCACCAAGAACAGTTCTCATCCGAAGCAGAAATGCGAGCGATTTACGGCTCGGCAATAATAAATACTCGGCGTCTATTAATTGTGTTCTACTGCTGAAATAGCAAACGATGGACATGCCAGTGCAATAAATTCACGACGATTCAATCTTCGTAGTGCTAGCGCGTATTGTCGACGTCATGACGCGTCTACGTGGTCGAGCCTCACTGATGATTATCGTGACGATCAGCTTCATCCTACTGATTGTTATATACCACATACTGAGTAACGAGATTGACGAGATATCATCGAGCAAGGTTGTCGCTCGACTGAAAGCAGAGGATGTGTATTCTCCAGGTGAACTCACAGATAGCCCTCAGAGTGCTGCCAGGAGGCAGCAAGTAGAAGGGCAAATTATGGAAAAATTCGAGAAACGGTAGGAATAAACAGTTTAACGAGTTAACTCATGACAATCATTTGCAGACGGCGCTCCACTGTTCAAGGGCCACAAGATTGTCCATCTAGATCTGAAAGGTGCTCCACCTAGGATAAGCTATTACAGCTACTTGTTTCCTCTGCTCAAAAAGCTAGGGGCCACTGGTATACTCGTAGAATATGAAGACATGTTCCCCTTTGCGGATAGTATCGAGGACATCCGCGCTGGCAACTCTTATTCCAGGAAAGATATTGTACAAATTCAAAATATAGCCAAGAATAATCAGCTAATTGTTATACCACTGATACAAACCTTCGGTCACATGGAATTTGTTCTCAAGTTGGACAAATACAAAGATTTTAGGGAAGTTCCACGTTATCCACAAGTCTTATGCCCCACATATAATAAAACGCTTCCATTAATATATCAAATGATAGACCAAGTTGTGTCTGCACATCCAATGTCAAAATATTTGCACATAGGTGCGGATGAGGTATATCAAATAGGAGAATGCTCAAGATGCTTGGATATTATGGCTAAAAAACAATGGGGCAAGAGGCAATTGTTCCTGGATCACGTCTCCACAGTGGTCAAATATATTAAAGAGAGATATCCAGAACTGACGGTACTTATGTGGGACGATGAGTTCCGTGATATAACTCCGCAAGAAATCATTGATAGAGGCTTGCACTCGTTGATAGAACCAGTGATTTGGAAGTACACTATTGACCCTGGTACGACGTTGACAGATCAGCTGTGGGAAAGTTACAGTGCAGTATGGAAACAAGTCTGGGTTGCAACAGCATTCAAAGGAGCTACTTCACCAGACAGATATTACACGGACATTTCATATCACATGGAGAATCATCAGCGTTGGCTGGAAATTGTTCAGAGATATTCGAGTCAAATTACATTTAAAGGCATCATGTTAACGGGATGGCAGAGATACGATCACTTCAGTGTACTTTGCGAATTATTACCGGTGGGATTGCCATCTCTCGCCATCAATTTAGCTATACTGCAAGCGTCAAATCTAAATGGCTTCCCAATAGAATTGCCCGGTCATATATCTGAAATTTTACAATGCGATGGTATCATTTCGTTAAGCATACCAGAACCGCAGTACGGCTGGACCAAGTGCAGCTTCCACGGAATGTCGGTATACGCAGCTATTTTACGCCTTTATTCTTTGACACAGGAAATAATAAAAATGGAGCAGGATAATACTTACAAGGGGTGGCTAAAGCCGTACAATATTAAGCACTTATTTGCGAGTCCTAGTTATGTCGAACGTGCAGTCACCGATTTAGACAGGTATAAAATGGAAATAATGTATATCGAGAAAGAAATGCGTACAGCCATGGAAGATATCTATGACACTTATACGATAGAAGAATGGCTTGAAACGTATGTTGCACCTTTAAATGAGAAACTCAATCAATTGTGGGAAGCTAAAGAAAAACTTTTAGAGAAAAATACATGGTCAAGGAGACCTCTCACAAAATCTGATTTATAGTGAGCAACGGTATTTTCCTCAAACAGATAGGCAAAAATATTTCATTATCATATTCTTGGTGGTATAACAAGAGACTGAGAATTTTAAATAATTCAAGGATATTAGAAATTTTTTAGCCATTTTTCGAAAATGGCGTGGATAATAAGTGAAATGTAAAAGTTTTGAACTCGTAATTTTACATCTTGGACAATCGTTGTACAGAATATGTGATAACTCGTAAATTCATAAGGGAGTAATCAAATAATACTGACTGCACCGTCCGTAAATTAGTAAATATGGTTTTTCTTGATGGATATAATTGTATTTAGTGAAAATAATAAGAAATTCCTCGATTGTTTAGATCACCAGTGTTTAGTTATTATTTTGGAAAAAGTATTTATCATAATAGATGATAATTCTTCTTTTGTACCGAGAAGTCTTAAATACAAAACTGACCTAGATCATTTACATTTGCAATGTAGACGGTGTAAAGATAGATAGTAATTTATTAATAAAGATATTGAACGAGAGAGCAATATAATTTTTCAGTATTTTTTAGAAGAAATAATTTATTGACAATTTATCAAAAATATTCTTCCTTAGGATTGTTTCAGATTATTGTTTTTTAAATTTCCATATACGTTTTATTATTATACGTATAAATAGGAATTTATTCTTTCCAATTGTGTACGCACAGATTGCTCTTCCTTCGTATTACGTCTTCTATTTATAAACGCAGTCGCTACATTACATTTTGTAGACTCAAATTTTACTAATACGTTTTTCAAACATAATCTCGTTATGTTTGAAAGATTAATATAAATCTTGGCAATAAATTATAAATTAATATATTTATTCACGTGTATTAATGCAATGTTTACAATTTTAGTATAAATAAGAAATCGTGCCATAAACAAATAATTGCGATGTTACACCAGATACATTTTTGAAAGGCGAAATAATTATTATGTATGCTTGAATTGAAGACTTTATATGAAAAAGGCTGTAAATGTATGAACAAAATAATTACTTTAATTAAAAAATATGTAGGTATTTTGAAAATAATATGCTGTAAAGATCTGCAAAATATCATTTGTGATAACAAATGTAAAAGAAATGTAGAATGTTTTGAAATATTTTTTTCCATATCATTGCAAGCAAACAAAATATTTGTAAAAGTAATTTTTTGAAAATTTTATTATTCAGAGCTATGTGAAATTTTTTGTTAGAGCCTTTTTTAATATCAGGTCTTTAATTACGCTTGTCACAACTTTTTAATATACACGCACCCTGCAGCATGATATTTAACAAGTCCTTTTAGCAATTTTAAATTCTTTTGTGAATTTTTAATATATAAATGTCTTCGCATTATTATATGACGCGCTTTGTTATTATTTTTTGTAATAATAATTAATGTGTAAAAATACTTTTAACATTGTTATATAAATCTATATTGTGCGTGTAATTATTACCACAACTAACGAGATGCAATTAATAAAACTGTTTTTAAATCTACGATAGACATTGTGAAAGTTGTTTATTCATTGGCCCCGCGCTACATAAAATATTTTTATTTTTATTCATACAACATATAATTTGAGAGTTAATGAATGTGATATACAAAGATATTATTCAATATATTCATGCGCAAGGCAGCTGTAAAAAATGTAATACTTTCTTAACATGTGCTATTCTATCATGAATACATACGCATTTAAATGAAATTTATGTAACATACATATTGATTGTGCAAATATTGTCTGACATCACGTATGAAATATAGTGTTCATTGTCTGTTATAGCTAGCATCGTAGTACAATCTTTGTTGAATCTTAGGTCTAACGAAATTAAAATATGTATATTCAGCTAGAATAAAAAGAATATTCTAAAAGTGTACGATGATCATCATTGCAAGGCACATACGGCGGATTTCGAGGAGGGAAAATGGGGATTGAATGCAATTTGTTTTTTATTGGGAATTCTTTTTACGACTTTTTGTATTGAATTCACGTCTACCGTGTCTCCAATTTCGGCGATAATGATAGGTTTGTGAAAGTCTTGATCCATCCTTGTCAATCGAACGCCCAAGACTTGCGCTGCCAAGCTTGCTATACATAAAGATACCTGAAAATAACGAAAATTTATATATCATTTCATTTTTAATTAAAAATGACAGACACTTTAGTTACTCTTTCACGAAAATTTTACGAGAGAAAAATTACCGATTCTCCGGTTCTCGCGGACATATCGTGATATGGAAATCCGTTTTCTGCTGCGAATCGGTGCGACCTGTCTCTCTTAACTGTCCTTTGATGCTCCATGTCGCATTTGTTACCTACTACTGCCATTAGAGGTGGTTCGTCATAAGTATCGATGAAATTTTTTATTTGATTAAGCCACTCTTCTAATATTTCGAAACTCGAGCTATTCGTGACGTCGTATACTAAGAGAATAATCTAATTTATGGAGAAAACACAAATATAATATCGAATATCAAATGTTGCAAGTATAAAATTTATTTTAACGAGATTGCACAATAGCAAATTGCCTTACATGTGCTCCGAAAATGTATTTGTCCAGCATATTGCCGTGCAGAGCGAGTCCGCCGACATCCCATAAATGTAGATTAACATTTTTGTAGCAGCCAACGGTGATGTTTTTAAGAAAGAAGTCAATGCCCGCGGTAGGTACGTATTGCCTGGTGAAATCGTTGTTGCAAAACTTCTGGACGATGCTAGTCTAAAGAAAAATCTTTGAATTTCAATTATCAGGAATGATAGGCATCGCGGTAAGAGAGAATAACAGGCATTGCGCTAAGACGGATAATCAATACGGATAATACTGATAATGATACTCGTAATTGTCGAAATTGCCGAGAAATTGAAACTGAAATTGTGAGAAATTGAAACTGCAAATAATAATTTAATCTAATTGTTGAAGAATTTTTTTTAATTATTACATCTTAGAATATTTTTATTTATTGTGTCTTATCAGTATGCAATCATAATGTGTAACTATGTTACAATATCATTTTCGTTGGATTTATAATCTATCTTCCTTGCGTCATTTGTCATTCAATGTCGTGCCGATTTGCGGATATGAAAGAGAATAACTGGAAAGGTTAATAAATTCTTGCTTGACCTATATGCTTTACTCTCATTACTGTATAAATCATCGATTAGAAAATTGTTTTTACCGATTGACCTTATTATTTTATCGTTGGCAAAAATACGATAACCGCAAACGTCGCATGTTACGAAAGTTTTCGCATTAGATCCAAAAGCACAAAGTCATAGCCAGGAAGTTTATCGATCCAAGTTAGCGCGCGTATTAACAGTAATCCACGGTATTTATAATGTCAATCATATGAAAAAAACATTTACTAATATATAAATATCATATAATTAACACACAATATCTCTATCTCTTCAAGAATAAATCCACATAATTACATTATGAGTATTTGCAGAAAATTGAACGCATCTACTTTTCCATCTACATAATTGTTGCGAAAAAAAGATATTTATCAAGTGCTTTTTAACAACTTTAACAGTTACTGTCACCTGTTGAAGGACTCTCACTATATCGTTTTCACTATGGTGATTAGTAAATAAATTTAAACGGACACGGTAAATCGCTGATAGATATTGTTTCGGAAACTTTAGGAGCAATGAATGGGAGGGATCAACCACCTCGGCGCACGTTTACGCGGTCTTGCGCGGTCTAGCTGCTGTTACGCTTTCGATCGAGGACGTAACACTGAAACTCACTTTGCCGACGCCGGAGTCACCCACGAGCACGATTTTTAGCCGCTTCTCGGCCGCGTCCTCGTCGACGTCCGACATGAGGGACGCGGTGAAGGTACACAACGGATTGCCGGCAGCCCTTGAGAATCATACGAATAGCATGACTCGAGAACGACCGTCGGGACGGTCCTCGTCCGACTGTAACGCGGCATATAACGTGACGGTTCGCGTGTTTGCGGCCGATGAGCGAGGTCCGAATCGACCGACAGTGGTGGCCAGTGCGGCGTCGTCGTCGTCGTCGTATTCGCGAACATGAATAAATTAACGAATAATCGATAGTTTGCGAACCACCGCCGTGCGTACCTTGTGGCTAGTGTCGATTCTAAACGCGAAGAATACTTCTCGACTTTGCGCCTGCGTCTGGCAGAACGTTTTAGCTGACAAAAAGAACTTTGGGTTTGAAAATTTACTGGAAGTAAATATTGTTAGCGCAGAAAATTTCTATTCAGTATATTATATTAAAATTACAATTTATATTGTACAATATGAATTTTATTATCTCAGATGTTATCTCTGTTTAATATTGTCATAAAGAAACATATATTAGATCGTTTTCATTCAGGCACTTGTTCGCGTCAATTTATCAATATAAGGTTTTCTTATAACATTTGTAAAACAATTTGAAAATCTATCGTCAACATGCTTCAATTAAAGATAAGGTCTTTATAATTTTGCAAAAGATAATAATTAGATACTCTGCAACAAGTAATTGTTCTAACGACTGTCAGTCTATCAGCTCGCTCGAAATTTGCTTTGACGATTTCGTAATATCTTCCATCGCTGAAACAAAGAAATATTTTTATATTTATTTACTTTGTTTATTTGATTTTTCTTTGATCTTACCTTAAACTTAAACACTTTAATTTGGTACACTTGACACGTAGGACATCTATGGCTTTCTGACTTTTGTCCGAAAATCGCAAGTTTTCCGGATCCCATCGTAACTCCAAACGTTCTAAATTGAGGCAATTATTTGCAATTCCATCCATCAATTGATCCACGTGAATGTTGACGCCTAATCTTTCTTGAGTACCCATTACAAGTATTCTGAAATATCATTAGAATCCTCTTGAAATATTTCCGAAAATATTAGCGGAAAAATAATACAGGAAATTTACACAAAATCGTAATAATGAACAAAGATTTTGTAAGAAGACAAGTGCGTATGTAGAATATATTAGAATACATTATCACTATTTTAAATTAATATACACTTTACTGTAATTCACGCACAACGAATTTAAATCGTTAAATTTAGTTTAATATCTTTGCTCACACAGAGTTTGCTTATACGAAATTAATTGGAAATGCTCACTTTGCATTCGTGAGAATTGGTAGTACACTTTGCCAAAGTTGGTCGGTAATGTGCGGCATGCCTGACAACGCAAGACCGTACAATTGATGACCGTGCCTCGACAAGAACTTGTGCAAAGCATCGTCGCTCAAATTATCGGAGCTATCCAGATCTAGCGCTATTAAATTTCGTGGATTCCCTACTTCGGTCCAGGCTTTGATTACACTATCATTAAAACCATTCAATTGACCGGCGCTCAAAAAACGTAGCCCAGGGATTCTGGTTAACATGTCAATCAAGCATTCTGTCGACAAGTCGGTAGCGGTAACGTCGAGCTCTTGAATACTTGATTTTTCCCACTCAACCTGCATTACGTATTCACTCTGCAGATCTGAAATATGGTATGCAGAATTAATTGAGATAGACTCTAATGTCATGAATAATATCTCAAAACTGACAAAAAAGATTATATATCCATGCGTGAGATTTTGTTTATGGCAATTAAATTGCAGCATGTTCGTGAACCTAGCATATCATTTTCCAGCAGATCAAAAATAAAAGAGAGTTCTTGTCGCATGCAGTCGAGTTCTATAGTTCCTTATAGTTTTTAGTAATAGTTCTGGTGATTTTATCCAAAAAAAACACCAATCGAAAAAATGATCTGCTAACTTCCCGTAGCAGATCATTTTCTAGCAGATCAAAAATAAAAGAGAGTTCTTGTCGCATGCAGTCGAGTTCTATAGTTCCTGATAGTTTTTAATGATAGTTCTGGTGATTTTATAAAAAAAAACACCGATCGAAAAAAATGATCTGCTACGGAAAGTTAGCAGATAAAAAATAGAGGACACTGAACATATATGTGATATGCTGGCCGTATATTGATAGTTCTGTTGATAATTAAAGAGTTTTCGTGTAGTTCTGAGCCAGTACATTGCTTTTCCAAAGAGTTCTGACGACTAAAATAATTAGAAATTTTTAACTAATTATTTACCCGAAAAACACGCATTTTTGTACATATATGTGATATGCTGGCCGCATATTGATAGTTCTGCTAAAAATTAGACAGTTCTCTTCTAGTTCTGGGCGAGTACATTGCTTTTCCAAAGAGTTCTGACGACTAAAATAATTAGAAATTTTTTAAACAATTATTTTACCCGAAAAACACGCATTTTTGAGTATATGTGTGATATGCTGGCCGTATATTGATAGTTCTGTTAATAATTAAAGAGTTTTCGTGTAGTTCTGGGCAAGTACATTGCTTTTCCAAAGAGTTCTGACGACTAAAATAATTAGAAAATTTTTTAAACAATTATTTTACCCGAAAAACGCGCATTTTTGAGCATATGTGTGAT